TTTTTTTACCAGAGCCGAATTTCTTTCGATGGGTCTGAGCTCAGGCCAAAAAACAGAGACCTCCTGCCGTCTTATGAATGGCAAAAGCCATAATATTTAATTCAGTATTAATCGTTCCAGTTGCAACAAAAGAGCTGCTTCATTTACCACAACTACAAATTGCTTGCCAAACAAAAATTTCTTAGAAAACTTTCTTTTTTTATGTTTTGAACTCCTTGGGGGACATTTAATCTACGATCCGGAACATAAAAATCCACACCTGGTAACTGAGAGCAGTCGCCGGGCATACATACTGCACATGTACACATGTACATATGTCTCATCATCGATGACGCCATAGTAAAAATTCTTAAAGAACTCAAGTTGAAGTCGTTTGACTCGATCTTTTGCCGTGCTGTTCTATTTTGAAAATCTATCGGGAACTTTCTGGACATTTTATGACTTGAGGTCTTCTTTCTTTTTAACTTTTCTGACAAAACCCTCGGAGCATCGTAGTTTTTCTGCTTCTTTTCTAGCCAATATGTTAGGATTTTTCCTAAAAAGCGCTGTTACCCTCTTGGCGACGCCAGGGGTTTTAAGTAAACCCATTGTTTTGGCACTTCCTCACTTTCTATTGATAGTCGGAAATTCGCTATACGTTAAAAAAAAACGACACGGTATTCCGGGAAACCAATTTGGATTTTCGATATAAAACGGATCAAATTTTTCTGCATTTCTATTTCACTGCTCATATTGAACACTAAACGTATTGAGGTCCATGTTGTGATTGAGAAAACTGAAATTTTGAATTTTGGAAATTTTACGAGTTGTAATGTGTGCATTAATTTGATCGTCCGCAAACCTTATATCAAATACCTATTTAGGTGAAGAGTATGCTAAAAAACGGCGTATATAAAACGTTTATATGAAGCAGAGTAAGTTCAATCAATAAACTATCAATTATTTCCTCATTTTATTTTGTTATTGCAATAGCCTTTTAAAATATTTCTCTACTTAATTGTGTTCTAACCAGACGCCCACACAACAGAGAAGCATGCGCAAAAAAGAGCAGTCAATATATATATCACATGCGTAGATACCTACAAATTCTTGTATGTACATCTCATTAATACTGTTGTTTCATTTTATTTTATTTGCACATTTCACCGCTAAATGAGCTTCTCTAATCTCCAATGAAATGGGGACAAATCGTCGATTCTACATGAGTAGTAGCAGCGATGGCAGCTGCTTTCTCGTGTGTGACACCCACCTTCATTGTTCAGCGCAACGTCAATGACATTCGCAAAACGCGACGCAGCTGTTTTTTGGATTCTATTAAGTGAGTAAAACACAATTTTATTTTATTTAGAATAATAACTTAGTTTGCAAAATGTATTGCGAAATGTGCTTTTGTCTAGAAAAAGTTTATCGCTACTATCTTCAATTTACAATTTATTTTTTTTCTAATTATGTATACATATTTTCATGTTATTACAGTATTTTTCTTTTCCCTAGAAAATTGCTCGTATTATGTTTCTATTGGTGTCTTGTAGACGCAGCCTATAGTACGAATTTTAAATATTTGTTAAGATTTCCGTGGAATGGGAGAATGCGTTTTTGGCTGCCGATAGCCCTATGCATATCTTAAACTCTCCCCGAGCTATTAATTAACCCTTAATTAGGCGCATGGGGTAGAATTGGTACGTGTGAATTGGTATTTATGTATGTACATATCGACTGCTGAGTGGAAGATCGAGCTATCTCGGCAGCCAGTTCGAAAACGCCCTATCTCAAAAAACTTTTCACGAACGCCCTATTTCAAAAACGCACTATCTCAGCTGCCGATTCAAAAACGCCCTATATCTGCACATTTTCAAAACATTTTCAATAAAATTCTAAAATAGGGCGTTCTTGAAAAGTTTTTTTGAGATAGGGCGTTTTCGAACTGGCTGCCGAGATAGGTCGATCTTCTGCTCAGCAGTCGATATGTACATTTCAATTTCCAGGAAAATGTAACCTGAATCGCTGCCCGCGATATTATATGTGCGTAAAGATAAATACGATGATGAAGAAATAAATGATAAATACGATCAAGAAAAAGGTTAAGTTAAAGATAAAGACGAAAATGTAAACAATGAGAAATACATAAGCATTAGGGTACCTGAAATGATAAGATATTTTATTGAAATTTTTCGAATGGAATCGAGATATGTAAATTCAGTCAAAAAAATTTAGTTATCGAAATTTATTAAGTTACCGAAATTTATCGGATCCTCCAAATTTACAGTCACCGAAATTTATCGAGTTATTCATTCTTATTAAGTTTTCGCAACGTATCGAGTCATTCAAATTTATCAATGTTTATTGAGTTAACAAAATTTATAGAAACGCATGGTTGTCCGGCTATAAAAACTAATGTGACTATCGAAATTTGTCAAGTTAATGAAATGTATGAGGTTATCGATATTTGCTGAACTGTCGTCAGCCATAGTCATCAATATTTATTATCGAGCTATCGATATTTATTGATTAACTGAAATTGGTCGATTTATCTAACCGTAGCGTTTGGTTTTTTCAAAATATATCGAGTTATCGGTAAGTTTATCGAGTTATTAGATACTGCCTATCGAATTTTATCGTGTCACTGGAAATTTGTCAATAGCTTTCGAGAAATATGGAGCTATCAAAATTAACCGAGATATCGGGCTTCAGAGAGGTATCCAAAGTTTATCGATTTATATCGAGTTATACAAATACATCTTTTTGTTAAGAAATTTATCGGACCCAATTTGCTCAGTTATCGGATTTTAGTGTTATTGAAGTTCTTTTAATTATCGATATGTATCAAAATATCGAAATTTATCGACAATCTGGAATGTATCGAGTCAATTCCAAGTCCTGCCAAAGACCTCTAAATAAAATACCTTCAAAGAAAAAAAAAAAAAAATTTAGTCACGTTTTAGTTCCAAAGCAGGAGATTTTCCAATCAGTTATTTTGTACCTTATAAGTTAAACGAAGTGCTAACAGCCGTACCTAAATTAGCGCGTTGAGCGTTTTGCTTGTATCTTTATCTCTCTCTGACGCATTAAATTTATATACGCTAGAAGAAGAGAGGCCGACAGGCCCAACGCTTGACGCGCTTATTTAGGTATGGCTCTAAGTCCAATGGTTTCAAAAAACTAGAAAAGCTGTCGAATTTCGACAGTAACTGGCACTCTTGGTATTAATAAATAGACGAGCGATTTTAATAGAAATTTATTTAAGAATATGATTGCGGACGAAGGAATTGCAGTAAAATTCGCACGAAACAAAATTACCTATCGTTCCCACGACAGTCGGGTCTACGTAACCGGAACGACCCAGATTTATATCTGCCCAAGGACTGTCACTCCAGCAACACTCCCCAAAATCTCTTTGGGGAATTTGTATGCTGTTACAACAGCAACAACAACAACCTAGTTTTATCAAAAAAACAATCGAGTAGGCTGTTATCGTCAGCCGGTATGCAAGACACACAACCAAACAATTGTGCGAGAAGCACCCAGAATGGAAGGCGAGAAAAGTGAGCAAACCGAAAGCAGAAATTTGACACGCACTCAAAAAACACACTCAAGTACTGAGCACACACACACACACGCATATTAGCGATATTTTGAAAGGTAAATAAACAAGTTAAAAATAACCAAAGGATAGATTTACTTGAAGGGAGAGGAAATAAAATTAAGTTTTGCAAAATTATAACTATGAACAAAAAATTAAAAACAATTTCTTCAGCTATGGTATGTATGTAATTTATAATTTTATTACTCACGCTCAAGTAGCCGCTGTATGAGGCTATCCACATTTAGATCAAAGTCAGCCATTATAGTGAATGTGACGTTGACGTTTGATAAAACAATAACAAAACTTCACGAGCTGCAAAAACAATCAACAAATTTGTATTAGCGTACTTTAACAGCGCAAAGCAGCTGTTGCAAATCCAATTAGTTACTATTTTGCTTTAGTTTTATGCAATTTAGCCAGTGGCCAGGCAACGATGCAGTCCTTCGCGGAGCACTTTGAAGATTTTGTGCGAAAATCGCTAAATATGCGCACGTTGTATTTATTTGTTATTTATTATGACGGTGGTCACGAAAATTGTCGGAATGAATTAGGAATTGTCGTGTAAATATATTTGTGCAGCCCAGTTGATCAGCCAGCTTGTATTTAATTGTGAACAATTCGTCGGCGTTGCAGCGAATGCGCGCACAAGTATATCACCATCAATGAACAAAATTTAGAACAAATACATGGAAATATATTTATTGCTTTTGGAGCTCACTCAGAAGTTACACTTAAAACTTAGAGAACTTTCAACTGCGTTTGTTTAACGAAAATCTCCTTTAAGAACCCTTCAAAAGTAATGCAACCGTAAGTAGCTCAATTCAATTTTGAGTTATTATCCAAAACGACGCAACGTGTAAAATATGCATGCCAAAGTAAAAGCACAAGCTGAGAATTGAAATCTTTCAAGATTTAGATTACTTTTGCTTTTACACTTTTCTAATTTTTTCTCTTGCTTTCAATATAGTTTGCCAACTTCAGCCTCTTTTTACTACAAGCCCGGTTCTTTTTTCTTTTGCAAGTTATGCACAATATTAAAACTTGTTTTCCATCAATTTTCCGCCGCATAGGTTATTTTCACGATTATGGCTTTTCTTCACTTCACCAAATATGGGCTTTTACAGTCTGTAGACACTGTAAATTAAAACTTTATGCTAACACGATATTTAGCACTTCACATGTACGCAACCGCTCGTTTATATTTTTACATACCGTAACTGTGATAGTTTTTTACAAATATCGCATGGAAATGTTTTAAATTCCTTGCATTTCACTTATCGTTTTCCATATAAAAACGCACAATATCCGCGGCTTTGCGAAAATACTTTGATATTTTCTTATTGGATTCTCTGCTCTCACTGCAATGAATTCCGTCAGACTCTGACGAGTAGCACCTGAGATGAACTTAAAATATCGAGTAATGTCGAAACTCGTTAGTTTATCACAGGGTTGAATTAGCAAGCGCAGCGTTGCAACAGTCAATGGCGGTTTTAACTACGGGCACGGAAATACGTTGTTCGCTTCACAATTATTTATGTAAATTACCCAATTACACGGCACATTCTTAGTTAGATTTGACAGTTCATTGTTTTTTATTCTTTTC